TTTTTTTTTTTCTCACTCACTCTTTCTCGCCGGCTGTAGAAGACACAAAAAGTGGAAGACTTTGTCTTCCACTTATATAAATATATATATATTATTTTTTTTATTATTTACGTTTTTGACCCATAATTTAACAATTAATTATTATTTTACCCTTTTATTTTTATTAGGATTAATAATATATATATATATTTTTTTTATCGGGTTTTACAGAATTGATACATGGATCTGTCAAAGACAATTTGGGGTTGAATTGTTTCTATCTTTTGTCAAAGACGATTTGGTTTCTCTCTCATGCCTTCTCTCTAGATATGACGAATGGTGTTTAGGTTTCAGCACAAAGATATTTTACAAGGTTATTACAATTATTTTGATTTTGAACTGAATTATCAGTTTTTTTTTTGTGTTAACAAAAGTAGGGTAAGATTGTCATTTTGCACTTTTTGTTAGCAACGTTTCATTTATAATGTCTTTTGGGTCCGAGTGTCATTTGTGAAATGTTAGGGGGTGTTCATGCAATAAACTAAAATGTTGGGGGGTGTCTGTGTAATTTACCCAAAATTTAAATGTGAAGTAGTTATTAAAAAGTTGAAAGTTTTTATGTAGGCTACATGTTTGAATTTAACTGGAGAAGGCCAATTAAGGAAAAAATATAATTTAGGGAGGGAATCTTCAGTTCCAAGATGTAACCTAAATCAACTCTGAGTGATGCACTTTCTCATGAAGACAGTGAATTAATTTAAGAGTCTTAAGACTCTAAGGCGAAGTTGATCCATGGATTGGACTCTATATCTATATATATATATATATATAGTTTAGGTCGAATTGTTTTTTTTCACCTCGAAAGATTTAAAAATCTTATTTTATAACTTTAAAATTTACATTTTTCATTATACTTTTAATGTATTAAAAATATTGCAATGTGGTCTTACCATTAACTTTCATTACTCGTTATGTCAATGTTGACATTGACAAAATGAACAACGAAAATAAACAATAAGCCGCATTGCAATACTTTTATTATGTTGAAGATACAATGTGTAAAATCTAATATTTGAGAGTTCAAAGTAAAAATTTCTAAATGTTTCGTGGTGTAAATTTTGATTCTCCCTTGAGGTTATGTTTGAAATTCAGGATTATAAGTGATAAATAAATAAACTCATAATTCGAGAAATAAAAATTCGAAGGAGCCATAACAGTTGAGTTTTAGAGGTCTAACGATTTATGATTTATAAACTATTATGCATTACTTCAGACAAAAACACAGTAAATGAGCAGTTTTAATTTTTTTTATTCCAGTAATTCCTAGTTCGAGTTTCTAAATTCCAAAAAAAAAAAAAAAATCTTAGGATATGCACTGCAAATAGTTTGTTAATAGATATAAATAGTTTGTATATAACTTAAAATATGTGATCAATTATAAAATATTATGATTGATGGCAATTTTTAAAGGTACAGTTAGACCTTTTAAAGTTGGATTTTAAAAACACTAATTGTTTAGATATTACAGGCTATTATTCAGGAATTTTTTTTTTTTTTTTGTTACTAGGTGTTTAGGCTTTCGTCGATTATTTCCTCAACCTCTGAGCCAGTCACCATAATTTAAATTAGTTTAAGAACATGTTCCTTAAAGAACAATGATTGTTAACCTTTAAGGGGTGTGAAAAATATCGAACATGAGATTAACTATTCCCTCAAGCTCTGAACTGACCATAACTAGTTTAAAAACATATTTCTTGATAGTTTAAGAATATATTCCCCGAAAAATAAGTTTGATTAATTTTTAAGAAGTGTAAAAAATATTAAACTTAAAAGAATTAGACTTAACCAATAGATAACTCCTAAAAATTATTCTTAAAAAAATTTACTCCAAAAGGTATATGTAATTTGTGAGAGTTGACGTGTGTATTGCTTCAAGAGGCATCCATAGCGAATTTGGTGTATCAATTAGCTTTATGACAGGTGTCTCTACTTTTGCATCCTAACCAGGTGTCTCTCGAACCCTCTCTTCCCTGTTAATACGATGTATATATATACTTGTATGATCCTTCAACCATCAACAAACCAAACAAGCTAAGAATATCGCATCCAATCTTCTCTTTCATTGCTTTGCACTCGCACTCGCACTCACACTCACACTCTTTGATCTCTCTCTCTCTCTCTCTCAATATGGCTTTCAGGACTCCGGTAAGTCAGAATTGCTAGCTTCTCATGTCATAATTTTTTTTTTT